AAGGCAGGACTACTACTTGATTATTTTATCAGTTTTTAGGATAATGAATTAGTTCCCCAATATAAACATATCATATATAACTATATGATAAATATATAATAAATCCATAAATTCATGGATTTAACATATTTGATGTCTTTCAATTATTGCAGTTTTATTTAGTTTTTTGAGATGGAGTCTCACTCTGTCACCCAGTCTGGAGTGCAGTGGCACGATCTTGGCTCCCTGCAACCCCTAGCTCCTGGGTTCCAGAGATTCTCCTGCCTCAACCTCCCAAGTAGCTAGGATTATAGGCACACGCCACCATACCCAGCTAATTTTTAAATTTTTATTAGAGATGGGGTTTCCCCGTGTTGGCCAGGTTAATCCCAAACCCCCAAAGTGCTAGGATTACAGGCATGAGCCACTGCACCTGGCCTACGGTTTTTTTTAATGTTCAAATTGTCTCATCTTTTGCTACAGGACTTCTTTCACGTTGGATCTGGATTCATTTTGTTAGGACTAGGCTGCAGCAGTCTTTGATAGCATCCTTATTTTTTGGCGCAATACTATGTACCAGGCTCATTCTGTGTATTTCATACTCCAGATCTGGAATCAGCCATTTCTTCATTAAGCCTTGGCTCCTTTTAATGGGAAATGATGTTCAGAGACCAGAATCTAGATGATGTGGGTGTCTGTTGAAAGTGGATTGGTCATTATTTTTCATTCTTTTCAAGTGGATGGATTTAAGAAATGCATTTTAAAAAATGAGAAAGTATGCCATGGTTCATATTGATGTTTCTAATTCAAATTTACAATGATGTAATTGCTAATAACTTCTACTTATATTTGTATCTCTTTCCTTTTCTACACCCTTTTGGTTTTTTTTTTTTTTTTGAGATGGGGTCTTGCCCTGGCTGGAGCACAGTGGAGTAATCACAGCTCGCTTCGGCCTCTACCTCCTGGGGTGGAGTGATCCTCTCACCACACCTTTCTGAGTAGTTGGGACTACAAGTATGTGCCACCATGCCCAGTTATTTTTTTTTTTGTTTGCTTTGTTTTGTTTTTTTGAGACCGAGTCTCTTTCTGTCACCCAGGCTGGAGTGCAATGGCACGATCTCGGCTCACTGCAACCTCCTCCTCCCGGGTTCAAGCGATTCTCCTGCCTCAGCCTCCCGAGTAGCTGGGATTACAAGCACATGCCACCACACCCAGCTAATTTTTGTATTTTTAGTAGAGACGGGGTTTCACCATGTTGACCAGGATGGTCTCGATCTCTGAATCTTGTGATCTGCCTGCCTTGGCTTCTTAAAGTGCTGGGACTACAGACGTGAGCCACCGTGCCTGGCCCTAATTTTGTAATATTTTGTAGTGATGAGGTCTCAGTATGTTGCCCAGGCTGGTCTTGAACTCCTGGGCTCAAGTGATCTTCCTGCCTTGGCTTCCCAAAGTGTTGGGATTATAGATGTGAGCTACCACACTTGGCCTACACTTTTTAATGTATATAGATGAAATTATATGGTTAGAATTTACATGAAAATAATTTAGTACGTGTGGGTGGGAGGGGAGAGGATATGGATGAGGAGGTGAATAATAGATGAAACAAGACTGGGCATGAATTGATAATTGTTAATTCTGGGTGACCAGTAGATACATGAAGGTTCATTATGTTATTTTCTCTTCTTTTGGGTATGTTTCATATCTTCAATGTAGAAATTCACTTGCATTTTTATTAAGATCTTGTAAATTTATAGAGAAATGAACTTCTTTAATTCATTCCACATTACTATATATAGTCCTCTTCCTTTTTTTTTTTTTTTTTTTAACAAAATATGGTGGCTTGTGACATTTTATTTTATTTACAAATTTTTTATTTTAGTTTTGGGGGTACATGTGAAGGTTTGTTACATAGATAAACGTGTGTCATGAGATTTTTTTGTATGTAATATTACGTTACCCAGGTATTAAGCTCAGTACCCAATAGTTATCTTTTCTGCCTCTCTCCCTCCTTCTACCCTCCCCCCTCCAGTAGACCCCAGTGTCTGATGTTTTCTTCTTTGTGTTCATAAGTTCTTGATTCTTCATTTTTTGAATGACTGCATATCAGTCAGTAAGATGACTGTACCATTATTTATGTAACTATTCATTTATTAATGTACTTATGATAGTACCCCCTTATCTGAGGAGATACTTTCTAAGGCCCCAAGTGGATGCCTAAAACCACAGATCATACTGAACCCTGCACATCTGGGTAACTGATTGAGCCACTAAGTGATTAGTGGTCAGGTAACAACATGTGGACACGCTGGACTAAAGGGATGATTCACGTCCTGGGCCTGATGGAGCAGGATGGTGTGAGATTTCATCACATATGAGAATGGCCTGTAATGTAAAACTTATTAACTGTTTATTTCTGGCATATTCCATTTAATATTTTTGGACCATGGTTGACTGTGGGAAAACAGTAAAGTAAAACCATGGATAAAGTAAAACCATGGATAACCATGGACTATTGTATAGATTGTTTTCAATTTTTCTTTGTAACAAATAATAATTCATTAGTAGTATTTACTTTAAAGTATAATTTAGTGGGTACCTGCATGTTTTTACCATGTTAATAACACTTTACCCCATACTTTTATCAGTTTTGTGTTTACCTCTCAGATTTTGCGAGTTGATACGTTAGGCTTGTATTTTAAAATATTTAAATTTTTTAAAGTGTTACTAATGTCATAAATAAAATTTAATTGATTTCCTTTTGAAAGTTTTTGTGGTGAAAGCTGTTTACAAATAAAGTTTCAATATTAGGTATATTTTCGGCAATCAACATTTTGATTTTTGAAGAAAAAACTTTTGGAATTCTAATAAAAGTTATTAGGTACTCTCACATGGTTATACAGTTCGCTACTGTAGATTGTCACTTATTTTACGTTTGCTACAGGTGCAGGAAACAACAAATTTCCATTAAAAATAATAACTAAGGTAAATCCCAATTAATTTACATTATAAGAAAGCTGCATTTAAAAAAGAAGATACGAAGTATGAAAGGATCCTGACTTTACTGTAACTTTTAAACTGTTACTTGAGGAGCACTTCATATTTTATTTTGAATGATAATCTAAGAATTTATTACTTTTCAAAAGTGAATCAATTATCTTTAGATGAAGTGATAATGTTAGTGGCATAGTACCCCTAAAGATATATTATAAAATTGTGGGAATAGATTGGGATATTTAAATCCCCTTGCGACAGGAGAGCCAGTCTTTTCTTTGGGAGGTAGTGCTGCAGGGCCGTGGTCCTGCTCTCCTTTTCAGATTACTGGTTTGTTACCTAAGCAACAAGGAACCTTGGTGGAGCAGCATCATGAAAAAGTCTGTAGAAAAGCTCTGTGAAAGAGGACTGTAAAAGAAGAGCACTTTGGAGTCAGACAGAGTTAGATTTGGAAAACAGCTTTACATTAACAGGTTAACATTATTTAACCTCTTAGAACCTTAGTTTCCTTATCTGTAAAACAGGCACAGAAACAACTTCTGTTTAGGGTACTGTGAGGCTTCAGTGCAATCATGAATGGCAGATGCTGGATGTATTCATTGCTTTTATATACTTCTACAAGTAAATTGAATGTTTGTCATATAATGTTTGGTCATAATAACAATAGTTAGCCTATGTTGAGTACCTATTGTGTACCACACAGTATTCTAAAAACTTTATATGGGGCCAGGCACGGTGGTTCACACCTGTAATCCCATCATGTCAGGAGGCTGAGATGGGAGGCAAGGAGTTTGAGACCAGCCTGGTCAACATAGCAAGACCCCATTTCTATTTAAAAAACAAAACACACGCACGAAAAACTTTACATAGATCTTGTTTAATCCTCACAGAGCTCTGTGAGGTAGGTTTCATTAGCTTGTTTTTATGAGGAAACTGATTGAAGAAAGTTAAGTAACTTGTATGAGAATATATGTTAGGCAGTAATGAGGAATTAGTGCTCTTTGTATGTATATGCGTTATATATACTTGATCGTGTGTGTGTGTGTGTGTGTATATATATATATATATTTTTTTTTTTTTTGAGATGGAATCTCGCTGTTTCGCCCTGGCTGGAGTGCAGTGGCGTGATCTCGGTTCACTGCAACCTCTGCCTCCTTGGTTCAAGCGATTCTTCTGTCTCAGCCTCCTGAGTTGCTGGGACTACAGGCACGTACCACCACACCTGGCTAAATTTTTGTATTTTTAGTAGAGACAGGGTTTCACCGTGTTAGCCAGGATAGTCTCACTCTCCCGACCTCGTGATCTGCTTGCCTCAGCCTCGCAAACTGCTAGGATTACAGGCATGAGCCACCATTTTCGGCCTGATCACATATTTTAAGTAAATAAATACAAATGTAAATAATATAAATTATTATATATTTGATTACTTATATTTTAAATAATCAAGACTTTTTTGTTATGACATCAGAGATAAAGGGAAGCATGATGAATCAGAAACATGATATGCTAAAAATCTCATTATTCTAAAACTTGTCTGAAACATTCATATGATTAAGAGATCTGTTGAGTGACAGGATCACAATTTGGGTAAAATTCTTGCTCTTGGCCGGGTACGGTGGTTCTTGCCTGTAATCCCAGCACTTTGGGAGGCTGAGGTGGGTGGATCACCTGGGGTCAGGAGTTCGAGACCAGCCTGACCAACATGGTGAAACCCTGTCTCTACTAAAAACAGAAAAATTTGCTGGGCATGCTGGTGCGCACCTGTAACCCCAGCTACTCGGGAGGCTGAGGCAGGAGAATCGCTTGAACCCAGGAGGTAGCGGTTGCAGTGAGCCAAGATCGTGCCATTGCACTCCAGCCTGGGCAACAAGAGTGAAATTCCATCTCAAAAAAAAAAAAAAAAAAAAAAAAAAAAATTATTGCTATTTTACTGAAAACATATTTTTCAATGGTAAGTGAGTGGTTTCCCAGTTTTCTCTTCTAACATAGTTTTAGTACTGAATTTGAAAGTGTTTATTTGATTTCCACAGGGTCGGAATCTGGCAGATCTTCGCCGTAGCCAGTCCCGAGGCACATTCACCATTAGTACTACTCTCCGGCTGGGTAGACAGATTTTGGAGTCTATTGAAAGCATTCATTCTGTGGGGTTCTTGCATCGAGACATCAAACCGGTAGGGACCTTTTCTATCCAGAGCACAGAATGAGTTTGATACTCTTAATGTTATCCTGGGACACAATAAATTATAAATGTAGCTTTATGTATTTGTTGTGGTAAAATACAAGGTAATATTTTCATTTCGATAGAGACCTGGAAGCAAAAATATAACTTACCTCTTAATTTTTTAAGTAATAATTACAACTACAACTTATTTTCAGGAGTTTTTCTCATACAATGAAAATAAAAACTGAGACTGGGGCGGTGACACATGCCCATAGTCCCAGCTACTCAGGAGGCTGAAGCAGGAGGATTCCTTGAGTGCAGGAGACGGAGACTGCAGTGAGCTATGATTGCTCCTGTGGATAGCCACTGCACCCCAGCCTGGGCAGCATAGTGAGACCCTGTCTCTTAAAAAAGGTTTATGTTTGACTATTATTATGTGTGCTAACATTACCATTTACTTAGCTTTATGCCTAAATTGGCATTATTCCCTGGTTTCTTTTATAGATATATTGGTTAAAAAACTATATATGTTGCTTTTGGTTGTTCATATTGTGTTCTTGAACTATTTGTTAAGTCAAAAATTATAGGAAATCATCAGTTGTGAAAGACCTTATTTTCTCCTGAGTGCTACTGTGGAAATATAGTGGGGTTTTTATTTACTAATCTGTTTTTCTTAGAAATTGTCATTTCCATAAGTGTGAAATAGGTTTTTTTGTCCTTTTTGGTATTTGATTGTTCATTAGGTGAAATGATCCATTTCTGATATACCATATTTACTATAAAGGTATCATATGTTGGTGCAGTTGAAAAGTATAACCGTCTGTTGTTACATGACTTCTAAAATTAGTTTACATGAAAATGCTAACTAAATTTAACATAGTAGAGTCAGTCTATTTCTATGCATCATTATTTGAGAACCATGGTGATTGGAATAGTTTCTGTTTTTATCAGAAAGTCCATAAGTAGAACAATATTTAAAAAAAAAAAAAAAAAAACCTAACAATTCTGGTAACAATTTGGCCTTTACCTTCACAAGTCCTCTTACTTACATACTCATCTTTGCGTTTGTGGTCATTTAATATTACACTGATTTTCATTAGGGGAAGAATACAAAGTGTATTTTCCTTAAGTCCGTTTTGAAATGTTTCTATAAATTGTATTTTAATTTTAGACTTAGTGAAATTCAGTTTTATGATGTTTATAGGAAATTCTTTTTTTTTTTTTTTAATTTTTTTTGTGACGAAGTCTCACTCTGTCGCCCAGGCTAGAGTGTCGTGGTGCAATCTCGGCTCACTGCAACCTCTGCCTCCTGGATTCAAGCAATTCTTCTGCCTCAGCTTCCTGCGTAGCTGGAATAACAGGCGCATGCTACCACACGCGGTTAATTTTTTTTTTTTTTAAAGTAGAAACGGGGTTTCACCACGTTGGTCAGGCTGGTCTCAAACTCCTGACCTTGTGATCCACCTGCCTTGGCCTCCCAAAGTGCTGGGATTACAGGCATGAGCCACCACACCTGGCCGTTTACAGGAAATTCTTTTAAATTTCTATGGTTTTTTTTTTTTTTGTCCGTCTCTGATTTCTCCTATTTTAAAAAGTAGGGGGTTGGGTTGTCATTTAAGCATTCACTTAGGCTAGAATTTCAAGAACTTAGAATTCCAAGTCTAGTTAATATTGTCTTGTGTGTAACCTTAGTCATTTACATCCTTTTTTGCTCAAAGTTTACCTGATATTAGGCATTAATAGAACCCAAAACTAAGTCATATTTTAATACCTACTAAACATCATTGACTAGAATAGTATATTTGGAACATGTGTGTTATATAGAGCTTAAATAGAAGAAGACTTAAAATGTAAGGACTAAGTATTATAAGAATGTATATATTTTCCTTCTTTATTTTTCTAGTCGAACTTCGCTATGGGCCGCTTTCCTAGTACATGTAGGAAATGTTACATGCTTGATTTTGGCTTGGCTCGACAGTTTACCAATTCCTGTGGTGACGTCAGACCAGTAAGATTTTTCATATTATTATCGAATATTTGATAATTACCCTGGTATTTATAGTATCACACTTTTTAAACAATGCTAATTATTTATCCTAATGGATGTTATCTAAGAAGTGGCATATACATTTAATGATTATAGAATGACAATAAATTGTACTATTGAAATTTGTGGCTTCAAAAAATGTACATTAGAGGGAGATTTCAAGTGGTCTTCTAGTAAGAACACATGTTGACCCTTTGAGATGAGGGGTCATTTGTGTAGTATGATACCCTTTCTACATACTATAATTCTATTTCAGTTACTATACTTTTCAACTCCCAAATTTCCACTTAGTTCTCTTCATTGATATTCTCTATTTGATGCAACACTGTCATCAAATAGAGCTTGTTTAATCAAGCTGTCCTTTATTTCTGAAAACATAACTATAATGGCTACTTTAAAATATTTTTCTGTTAAATCCAATATCTGGTCACTCTCACAGGCAGTTTCTGTTGCCAGCTTTTTTCCCCCTATGTATAAGTCATACTTTCCTGTTTCTTTGCATGCCTCATGATTTTTTGTTGGAAACTGGGCCTTTTAGGTAATATATTACAGCAACTCTGGGTACTAGTTTCCCCCTTCTAGGGCTTGTTGTTATTTTTTGTTTAGTGGCTGACAGGATCATTTTAGTGAAATCTATTCCGTTCTCCCTTCCTCCCTGCAAACCATACACACAGTATTAAGACTGTGTTGCTCTTCAGGGAGGTGCATCTTTGGGTATGACCACAATCAAACTATGATGATAATGGTACCAGTAAGGCTCACTTCTGCTCTTTCCTTGGCCACATCCAGCTGTTGAACTTCACTAATTGCAGGCCAGTTACTTTATTGTTTATAACAATATCTTGGGGGCATAAATACCTTGACCAGCTAATCAAACTGTGGCTTCTAAAATGGAATAGTTTCTGAAGTCAATGTTTGATCATTGTTCTGATGTCAGGTCCTTCAGCTATCTTTTCCCCCTAGTTCTCTCCTGTCCAGCTATTCTCTAAGCTGTATCTTCAGTGAATTTCCTCCTAGTTCCCTTTACCACAACCTCTATTTTTGATAGGGCTTTTAGGTTTGTTAAAAAGAAAACATTAGGCAAATTAAATTTAACAGAGTTTAGTTGAGCAAAGAATGATTCATGAATCATGTAGCCCCCCAGAATAAGAACAGGTTCAGAATGACTCTGGGGCTGCCACATGGTCAGATAACATGTATGAACATAAAAAGTAAAATGAGTACAGAAAATGTAAGTGAGGTATAGAAACAGCTGGATTGCTTATAGCTGGGCATTTGCTTTATTTGAATCTGCTTTGAACAGTTGGCTGCTGTGGTTGGCTGAGACTTGGCTGTTTGTTACAAGAGTAGTTTACAGTCTGTTTATACTCAAGTTAGGTTACCATCATTACCTCTAGACCAGCCATAAAACATGTACAGAGGCAGTTTTAGGCCAAACTTAATTTAGCAATAAAACTGTAAGGCATTGATGTCACTCTGTCAATATTGTAAATGGACTTATTTGGTCTCAGTATGGGATTCACAAGCCTTATTTGGTCTCAGCTCCTGTCCGTTTTGGGTTCTGTCTGCTTCTTTAAAGTTTTGGTTTGATGAAATTAATAATAAACATAAAATAAAAATAAATTTTAAAAAAAGTTAATGTCATACTTTTTTGGATTGTGTTTGAAATAATTTTCTCATATTGTTCTACTAATGTAAAATCAAAAGTTCCCATTGTAGATTTGTTTCATATGTACAATTATTTCTTTATTGCTAGAAACTTGAATCCATTGTTTGGATTGTCTAAGTATACCATCATGTTATCTGCAGAAATCTGTATTTTGATTTTGTTTATTTTGTCTTGCTGTATATTCCAGAAGAGTGTAAAAAACATTAAAAACTAAGAATAACGAAACATTACTGGCCTCCATCTAGGTTAAGAAATGGCGTATTACCATCTTAGAAGCACGCTGTGGGTCCTTTCCTGATCATATCCCTTTTTCTTCCTCAAGCAGCACTGACAAATGGAGCTTTCTATGATGATAGCAATGTTCTGTATCTGTACTGTCTTATATGGTAGCCACTAGCTACATGTGGCTATAGAGCACTTGGATTGTAGCCAGAGCAAATGAGGAACTGAATTTAATTTAATTTTATATTTTATTTTATTTTATTTTATTTTTATTTTTTTGAAATGGAGTCTCGCTGTGTCACCCATGCCAGAGTGCAGTGGCGCTATCTCAACTCACTGCTACCTCTACCTCCTAGGTTCAAGCGATTCTCTTGCCTCAGCCTCCCGAGTAGCTGGGACTACAGGCGCCCACCACCACACCCAGCTAATTTCTTTTTGCGTTTTTAGTAGAGACAAGATTTCACCATGTTGGCCAGGCTGGTCTCGAACTCCTGACCTCAAGGGATCCACCCTCTTCAGCCTCCTAAAGTGCTGGGATTACAGGCATGAGCCACCACACGTGGTCCAGGAACTGAATTTTAAATTCATTTAATTTTAAGTGACTATCACATTAGCCAGTGCAGCCCTTGACATACTCTCCATTCTATATTTTGTGTTAACTAGTTTCTTTGTTTTCTTTCTTCTCTCTTCTGCAGATCTTGAGGGTACTTGTTTTGGAGTTAGGGAGCAGATGCAGATAGCTGCCATGACAAGCCTTTATGTTTAGCTTATGAATTTAACCCAATCGACTTTTAATGTTTTTAATCCAGTCCCTCTCTCCCTTTTCCTTCTCATATTCCTTTCCCTTTGCTTTTTAAATTTTTTATTATTATTTAAAGAGATAGGATCTTGCTCTGTTGCACAGGCTCGGAGTGCAGTGGTGCAATCAAAACTCATTGTAGCCTCTCCTGGGCTCAGGTGATCTTCTTGCCTCAGCTTCTCAAAGTTCTAAAATTACAGGTGTGAGCCACCGCACCTGGCCTCCTCTGCTTTTTTATTATTTTATTATTATTATTATTTGCTTTTCCCCCTGATTTGATGTATATTGTTGTCCTTTTTTATTATTATTTTTCATTTCTATTTTGGGTTTGGGGGCACATGTGCAAGTTTGTTGTATAGGTAAACTCGTGCCATGGGGGTTTGTTATATAGATTATTTCATCACCCGGGTACTAAGCCTAGTACCCAATGGTTATTTTTTCTGCTCCTCTCCTTCCTCCCACCCCCCACCCTGAAGTAGGCCCCAATGTTCGTCTTTCCCTTTGTGTCTATGAGTTCTCATCATAACAAATACTGTTTTGTTATCACAGTAAATACTCTGTTAGCTGATCAATATGTAATAGTAGTTGGTCTGTTATTTGAAGATTCATTAAGGATGAAGAATCACGACATAATACTTTAAGCATTTTTTATATTTTTCTTTGTTTTGTCTTTTTGTTTTCAAATAGTTAAGACTCATAAGAAGTTACAAAAATAATACAGTTACCATGTACCTTCACCCAGCTTTCTCCAGTGATAATACCTTACATAATCATAGTACATTGTCAAAACTGGGAAATTGATGTTGGTATAATATTATTAACTCAAGTACAGACTTAGATTTTACCAGGTTCAACATGCACGTTTTGGTGGGGGTGGTGGTATGTGAAATTTTATCACATGTATAGATTCATATAACCAACTGCTATAATTTGATGTCCCATCCAAATCTGATGTTTAAATTTGATTCCCAGTGCTAGAAGTGAGGCCTAACGGGCAGTGTTTGGGTCGTGGGATGGATCACTCATGAATAGATCACTCCTCTCCCCTGGGAGCGGAGGGTCGTGAGTTCTCACTGTTAGTTCTTGTGAGAGCTGGTTGTTAAAAAGAGCCTGGCACCTTCCCCCACCTTCTTGCTTCCTTTCTCACCATGTGACCTCTGCACATGCCTCCTCTGCTTTGCCTTCCACCATGAGTGGTAGCAGCCTGAAGCCGTCACCAGAAGCAGATGCTGGTGCCATGTTTCTTGTACAGCCTGCATCCCGAACTGTGAACCAAACAGACCTCTTTTCTTTATAAATTTTCAGCCTCATGTATTCCTTTACAGCAGGGATGTCCAATCTTTTGGCTTCCCTGGGCCACAATGAAAGAAGCATTGTCTTGGGCCACACATGAAATATACTAACAATAGCTGATGAGCTAAAAAAAAAAAATCCCAATAATGTTTTAGGAAAGTTTATGAATTTGTGTTGGGTTATGTTCAAAGCCATCCTGGACCACATGTTGGGCAAGCTTATTTTGTAGCAGCACAAATGGACTAAGACATCAACACCATAATCCAGACACAAAGCTATTCTATCACCACGAAGGAACTTCCTCAAAACATAGATGCATATTTATTTACCAATCTTGTGGTGTAGGACCATCAGTCAGAAGGCATTGCAAAGGGAATGATGGAGTGTATCTGTTATACCAGTGTGTTGTTTTATGAAGTTGGTTTTGACAGCCTCTACTCTTTATCACCTTTAAGATGTATTAGTTACATTAAGTAGGGTTGTGAGGGGCAAAGAAGTCCTAAACTATATGTATCTGCAACACTTTGATTCATAATTTCAGAGTTGAACTTCTGTTTACCTAATGATTTGAATCTGTCTGTTCATTTTGTGTATGTGTCCTGCTTTTAAGGCATTCCCCAGTTTCAGCCCTTCAGCTGGCATCTCACACTGGCCTTTTGTATGTAAGCTCTTGGAGTGACATGTTTTCTCCTGTTGCTCCTGTCCTAACCATTCACCTGAAACTTCCAGTGCCTAGGATTGTAGTAACTTATGTAAGAACAATTTTTAAAGTCTTTTTTCTCTGTTAGTATTTCAGAATTTCAGCTGAATTTGAGATACTTTCTTAATTCCATTGGGAGTTCTATTACATAGTTCTTGCATTTTTTTCCCTGATCCTTTCTCTTTTGTTAGCAATAGGCTAAAGTCGTTCTCTTCTTTCTTGATTTATTCTCCTAGGAGTTCATCCTGTCTCTAACATACCTTCTCTCCTTTACATTC